TGCTATGCTGAAGAACTATAAAAAGGTGCTTTCAAATGGGAAATCTTTGTCTCCAGGCAGAACAATGAGAAACATGTGTAGCATGCTGGTAAAACTTGCCATAATCAACTATCCATTATTTTATATATTATAAATGTGTATATGTAATAAATATTATGTGTGCATACACATATATATTCATTCTCTTTCCTTAGATCCATTCCTGCATCATCAACTACCTATTGGACACTTCAAAATTCATATTGCATAAATATTTCAAACATAACATGTCCAAAGGAGAATGTTCTATCTTTCCTCTCAAACCCATTCTTCTTCTGAACTCCCCTATTTCTATTGTGGGCATTACCATCTTTTTAGTCACATTTGCTTTATCTTTGACTCCTGATTCTCCTTTATCCCACGTATACAATCAGTTGCTTAATCTTTTTGGGGGGCAGGTCAGGCAATTGGAGTTAAATGACTTGCCCAGAGTCACACAACTAGTAAGTATTATGTGTCTGAGGCTGGATTTGAACTTGGGTCCTCCTGACTCCAGGGCCAGTGCTCTATCCACTATGCCACCTAGCTGCCCCTTCAGTTGCTTAATCTAATTCCTACCTCCATCTTTCTCACATTCATTCTCTTATTCTTCCAATACCATAGTCATCATAGGCTACCATCATAGTCCATGACCTCATCACTTCTAGCCTATACCATCGCAATAGCTTCAAAACTGGTCTCTCTGCTTTAAGTCTCTATCCTCTCTGATCTGTCCTTCACACAGCCAAAGCGATTTTCTTCAAGTACAAATCTGACTACAGCAGTTTCCGTTGCCCTCCCAACACACACAATAAATTCCAGTGACTTTCTTACTTCTAGGATATATGTATATTTATATTCCTTGGTAGGCATTTTAAGCCCTTCACAATCTGGCCCTGATCTGCCTTTCCAGATTTATTATTATATTTACTCTTTCCCATACTTTATATTCCAGTCAAACTGGCCTTCTTACTATTCTGCACACATGACAGTCCACCTACTATCTTTTATGCCTTTCTACTGACTCTCACCCATGCCTGGAATGTACTCCGTCCTCACCTCTGCCCCTAGGAATCTCAAATTTCCTTCAAGGCTCAGCTCAAGCCCAACCTTTTTTGGGTGAGAAAAAAGCCTTTCAAAAGTTTTGTTTTTTTTTAAAGACTTCCAAATCTCCCCCTTAGCTAATGCTTTCTCTTCACCCATGCCAAACTACTGTGGAATTTATCTTGTTTACATACACACACACAAACACACATATATTACATATTTTATAAGTACTTTTATGTAAGTATATGTTGTTTCCTCTGAGAGAATACAGGACTTTCCCATAAATGGCTTAGGAAATAAGGCTATACCTCAATTAAACACAAAAGCCTGTTCTTCACCATCATGAAATCATCAGTATGTTAGTAAGCAGCAAAAGTAGACTCAAATCCAATTCCTCTTTCTGCAAATATAGTACTCTTTCTACTGTAACTGGACCTTGCCCCAGCCATCACCATCCCCTCTTTCATGCATCTTTAACCTCCCTCTTCATTATTCCTTGTCACTTGCCTACAAAAATGTTTAGTTCTCCCCAACTGTTAAAAAAAAAAGTATTCCCTCCACCCTTCCATTCATCTCCAAACTTGAAAAAGATGTCTATACCTGTTTCCCTTACCTTTCCCAACTCTCCTTCTTTTTGAGGCAGAGTTAAGTGCCCAGTTAAGTGCCCAGAGTTACACAGCTAATAAGTGTCTGAGGTCAGAACTGAACTCAGGTCCTCCTGACTGATGGGCCAGTTGCTCTATCCACTGGACCACCCAGCTGCCTCTCCACTCACTCTTTCTTCATCCCCTTGTGATCTAACTCCTGCTTTCATCTCCCCTACAGGTTTCCAGAGACCTCTGACTTGCCACATCCAATGGACTTTTTTGTCTTCATCCTCCCTGACTGCTCTATAAGATTTAGCATTCCTGTCTGTCCCTTTCTCCTGAATATTCTCTTATCCCTTGACTTCAGAAAGACAACATTCCTTTGGCGCTCCTCTTCCCTCTCAAACAAGGTGCCATTCGAATAATATTTGATCAATTTTTTTATTCATTCAAATTGATAAATTTAAATATGCTATAGGTCCTGGCATATGCTAATACAATTTTCATAGCATTTTCTTGGGGACACCCTCCCAAGGATTTAGCTATTGCCTGATACGCTGCCTCCTGTTTTCCAAATGTACTTCTAGGCCTGGTGACATCATTTTCTCCTTCAAGGCTCAATATAGGTGCCACCTCCTCATGCTGCATCTGCCTTCCCTGATTTTTCCCAGCAAAGGGAAAATCTGTCTTCTCTCAAAGTGTTCTTTCTCTGCAAATTTCTTTAGCTGTTGTGGTCCGGATCTCTCCAATTGTAAGCATAACATCCTACCTTGGATCATAGTTTTCCACAGGATCACACATATGAAAGAGATCTTAGAGGTCCATCCTCTCATTTTACAGATGAGCAAACTAGTGGTTTGCTCTGGGTAGGAAGTATACAGGTCATATAGGGCAGGCTTTGGATTCAAATTCAGGTCCTGTGACTCCCAAGTTCAATACACTTTCCACTATACCATGCCCTAAAAATGTGGCATTCTCTGACGAGACCATAAGCTCTGAAGGTAAGGACTGTTTTACTTTGCATTTGCCTAGTATACTGTGTGCTATACACTTTTGTTGTTTTTCAGTTGTTTTCACTCATGTCCAACTCTCTGTAACCCCCTTTGAGGTTTTTTCGGCAAAGATACTAGAGTGGTTTGCCATTTCCTTCTCTACCTCATTTTACAGATGAGTCTTCCTTACTCCAGACCAGGTACTCGATCCACTGCATTTAATAGATATTTGTTGAACTGAATAGGAAACTAATACCAGAGTAATCCTTTTAGCATCATTGGGGAAGCCCATGATTCACATACAGGGACAAGCAATTTCTACTCAAGGGGCATTTAACTCATTCTGAGGGATGTCTAAGTTGTATATGGATACTGGTCACATTATTTTCCCACAGGCTTAAAGGTGGGGTGGAGGGAAGAAACATTCCACTTTCACTGCTGATTCATATACTGGTTGAGAACAGTGAGCCATCAGCCAAGGTATAGAAGTTTTCTCATTCTTACTGTAATATTCCTGGTGGTGTGGTAGAGAGGCTGGCTCAGAGATGGTTCTGACACAAAGCTCAGGGATGCTATTTAAATCATTTACATAGGTGTGGATTAAGATATGCCAGAAATATGCTCCCAAGCGGTCCACTTAAGGAGGCTTATTTTTATCCTATAAAAACTGATAAATACTTCTGAACATAATGCCATACTGCCCTACAAAAAGGAAATGTAAAAAGGAAATGTCATCATTCACCTTCCTCCCTTCCCTACTCTTAATAATATGTTTTACTATGAATACATTTAGGTGTCAAACTTCCACTACAATATCTAGAAATTTGATAGAAGACATAAGGCTATATACCAATATAGCATGAAAAGGAGAGTTATGGTACAAAGTATTATTAAATTTTAGACATTAATTAAATGTCCCAGAAAAAAGTATACATCTAGAGGCTTAGGAAAGAGTTAGATGAAATGTAAGGAGAGAGAGTGTGATTTGTACCTAAGAAAGAGGAAAGAAATAAGAATTCTGGAAGGAGACTGAACTTGTGTTATAGAGCTGCAGCCCCCTGGTCTTAGCAAAATCACTGACCAAGTACACAAGTTCTTCTGTCTTAACAATTCTGCCTAGTAACAGACCTTTACCAGCCCATCCTCCTTGGGCCTTCTTCCTGCCCTATCAAAAAAAAAAATTTTTTTATATTATATATGTGTGTATATATATAAATACCTGCTCACAAATAACCTCAGTCCCTAATTTAAACAGTAGATAAGTATTTATTGCCTTTATTTGTGGAAATACCTAAGATACAAATAATAGTTAGGCTACTATCGTGAAAGTCATTCAAACTCAAGGTAACTAGTCATTCAAACAACCCATTCAAACGACATGTTCATTCCTTCCAGATTTTAAAAAGGGAGGTAGATAAAGAGAACAGAATGCTCTGCCCACCTACAGTGAAAAAAGAAATCACTAACTAGGAAGGAAAACAATATAAAGAGGGGACTGGGTCTCATAAAATCATTTTGGAAGAGAACTTATTGAAGAGAGGCTTTAAAGTTTTGCTAAACATTGGTAACCAGCCAGAACAAATAGAAGCCATGCACTGAAGCATTTTGCATATAGCTATAAATGTGGGTAGTCTCTATTCACGATTTATGCAAACTGTTTTAAACATGACTTCTTTCCCAGTAAGAAAAAAAAAGAACTTCATTCAAGTGAGTCATGTAGTAGAGATTGTACAACCAAAAACCTAGAATACAGTCTAAGTTTTAAGGAGATTTGGTGAGGCATTGAAAGGAGACATATAGTGATTAGTCTAGCCAAAGCTAGACTAATTCAACTTAATTCAAATAGACACTTCCCAATGCATATTTCATGAATTTAGATTTTTAAATTTTGTGCCTTTTTAAACATCGAAAATTTAGGCTTGTCAGTATGGTCAAGAGAATGAATAAGTTTCATGCTATATCATATAGCTACATAGACAGGAAGGTTAACTGCGTCCTTTAGCCCAATAGAACTGGAATCCTTATTCAGCTGTAAAAAGAAGTCATTGCTTTGTTTCTATCATACCTATAATGCCTGTTAACATTTAATAATAAAGTGACATAAAAAGTGACCTTAAGAAACCAGGGCATCTAAATTGAGAGGCTTTACCTGAATCAGGATGGCAATGGCAAATGGTTATCTCACTTACCTCACCAGGTTGTGGAGAAGATTTCAAGTGATAATAATAGGACAAACTTTGTGCTATGCGTATGTTAAAGGCTACTTACAGGCTGAATAAATCAGGAAGACTTACATTCAAAGGTTTCTCAATGATGACTTAGGTTTAAAGTGATTTAGACACATTTTGCAAATATATCAATTTGTTACAAGTGTCAGTTTTATTAAAGATATTCAAATACAAAAAAAGAATATTAACCAAAAACTATTACTGTTAACTAATGGTTAAAAACCATGTCGTTTTTCTTACTCATGATACTAAGGCACTTTGAATTCAAACATTCATTGTAGGTAGAGAAGACAGAGATATCTAAAAATTTGTATACATCTTTAATAGTAAGATGTTTTTGATTATTGTCTGAGCATTAATTTCTATCTCTATGGACTTACCACTTTTTTTTTCCTCCCTAACATACCAGTCAGGGTTTTAAAGTACTCAAATAATTAGGTGGTATGCATCAATGAAACACAAGCAAATATCATAAAAATGTCCAGGGCAGCAATCACTAGAAAAGAGGGTGCCAAACTTAGGCATTTTTTCCTCACATATTCATTCATCAGCATGGCAAGTCAAGATAGAAAAGCTTGTAATCATATTCCATAATTGGATGATTCAGCTATAAAAAGTCCTTACCAATCATCTATAACTAGTAAGAGGCAAGGTATTACTTTAAAGCTCTAAAAATTAATGGTATTTAGTATGTTAAAATAATAAAAATGATTGGTTTTTGTTTTTTTTAAAGAATGATTCTTGTACATATTCATTTGAATATGCAATTACATGCAATACAGCCTTTGTACTGTGACAGAGTGCTGTATTTTAAACAGCATTGAGTCTTATCTTTGGTACAATGCATTTGCAAAGGGTCAATAATTTGGCAATACAAAGAGACAGCTTAAGTGCATTTCGAAGTAGCAGCAATAAAGACTATTATCAGTAACTTATGGCATATATATTGGCCTTCTATTTCAAAATATCTTTTCATAACTGTTAGTTGCTATGGTCATCTAACATGTGTCCTTAGTAAAAAAAAAAAAGTTGCAGCACAACAACAAAAAACACACTACATAATAAAAAGAAAATCAAAGCATACTTCTAAACATAATGTTTGCTCGTGTGATCGTCTTTGCTATATAAATCTGGAACTTCTGTATTACATAAAGCTGGAGCTGAAAGAGGAAAAGAAAAGAGTGCTGACTAATTGGCATATGAGAAAAGAGAACAGAAAACATTGCAAACTGGAATTTAAAGTCTGGAAGCCTTATTGAAATAAAAATTCTCATAGAGTTCATATCAGCAAAATCAGACAAGAAAAACTATTCTAAGAATAAAGGCCTTTTTAATCTTTTTTTTTTTTTAAATATCTTTGCACTGCCTTTAAAGACTAAAGTCCAATTTTAGTTTGAGTTTGAACAGAGATAACAGGTCTGAATTTATCATAAGTATACTCCAGACACAGGAGAGACTCAAAGAAAAGTTATCTTTTTTCCTGGCTCCCATCCTTTTTCAGTGTAATAGCTTTTTCTGCATTGATGGTCTAGGTTTCAGAGAATACTTACTTCTTACGATCCTTTTCTTTCTTCACACTGGTACCAGATGCATTTAAAGGCTGATTTTGGAGTAGCTCAGATGCAGCTTTCTTTTTAGTAAAAGCAATTATTTCTTCTTCCAAATACTTTCTCTTTTCTTCAAGTTTCATTCTTTCTTCCTGATGAAGTCTTTTAAGATGTTCAAATTTGGCCTGCAGCTGAAAAACACGTGTGTAGTTCTGATTACCATACATGTGGTGGCAGTGTAACTCCAAGAATCAGTTCAGCAAGAAACTTTCACAAGTGCATAACACAATACAAGTATAAACTCATATATAGAATTTCCCCACTGTCTCTTATCATCATTTTAAAGATATATTTGATTACAAAATAAATCAGAATGCTAATATTCAGAGCCCTCTGCTATTTTTAAGGTATTTTCTAACATTAAAGTATTACTTTAAGGTTTGTAAAGTATTTTATATACTAAATATATTATGTATAAATATTATGTTCTCTGCTCTTCATAACAACCCTGTGAGGTAGGTGCTATTATTATTTACATATCAGGATGAGAGGTTAAGTGATTTGCTTTGTGTTGACACAACTAGTAAGTGTTTAGGACAGATTTGAACCTAGGTCTTCCTGAATCCAAGACCCAGTGCCTTATACCCCATACCAATGGTGTCAAACTCAAAAAGAAATAGATCCCTGTGGGTCTCATATTAATTTAGAAAGTCATAAATTACCATTATCTATGTTGTACTGCATTTTTATTTTTCTTAGAACATTTCCTGTCGCATTTTAATCTGATTCAGTGTGCTTAGGAATCTAAAAGACTCCTAAGAATTTGATTTTTGGAGGAGGTGGATTCCCACCCCAGAGAAGGTTTTCAAGCAGATGCTAGATGACCATTTGTCAGTATTTTAGAGTACAGATTCCTTTAGGGGGTATGAGTGGTATTAGCTGACTACTACTGATGTCTGTTCCATACATAAAAATTTAAGAATTCTTCGATTTTGTGATTTTATTTTGAAGTAAAAACTTACTAATTGTATGACCTTATGCAAATTATTTAGCTTCTCTGGGCCTGGGCTCCTCATCAGCAAAATGAGGAGTTAGAATTATATGGTTTCTTTCATCTATAAATGAAATTATGATCCTCTTTTCCATCTCTCTCCAACCAGCTGGACTGTCAGCCAATACAACCAGCATGGATTCCTCTTATTCAAAAATCTCTGCTCCAGGCCACCTAGTCTCACCAATTTCAGATTTGACCCTTCTTTGACAAATAATAATTATTATTAGAAAATAATTAAGAGGCTAATGAGAACTTATAAGGGATGGCTTTCTGTGAGGGGATAGAGGGTAAAATACAGATGATACAAAAACAAGACATCAACAAAAATTTAATTTTTTAAAAAGTTAAATTACCTTCCCTCCCAAGAAACCACTGGGAAAACAGAGAGCCCTTAATCCCTCCCTGACCTGGTACATTAACTGACTAGCCAAGATTCCTGGATTCTTCCTGGCTTTCACTCAGTAAAGAGGCTAACAGTAGAAAAAAAATTAAAGAATCTCTCCTTTTCCCTACCAGGACATCAAATGAGTGAGTCAATCCTACTGGACTCACAGCCCATTTAGCTTTCCCAGGTCAGAGTGGTATTGGGGAATTTGGTAAAGTGAGAGGGATAGTTGAGAGGGAGAAAGCAGCAGAGCAAGGGCTTAATTCTAGACAGAAATAGCTTTTTGACAGAAGGTAAAGAAGTCAATATCTGCCTAAAGCTGATGAAGAAGAGAACTTCAGGAGAAAAAAGAATATCTACTTATTGCTTTTCTGCCTTTTCCAAATATTAGTGTTCTAACAATAGTAATTTATATTGCAATAGGTATACATTATATTTGAAATACATTGTTTGGTTAAGTGGGTTTTTGTAGGCTGGCTTTGGAACCTAATAATCATTTGTGATTGTTCCTATGGGGAAATATGTTCACAATTCCATTTTTGAAACAATTTATCATCATCTAGGTGTCTAGGTGTTGCCTCTACTTAAAATCATAGCACTCTAGAGATGAAAAGGATCTGAGACCACATAGTCTAAACCCCTCATTTGTGTAAGTTAAGAAAACCATCATGCAGACAACTGAAGTGACTTTCCTACTCAAGTTTATATGACAAAGCCACAACTAGATCTGGGCTCTCGACTCCCCTGTCCAATGCTCTGATACATGAAACTGCTGCAGATAAACAGTTTCAAAACTCTTCCCCAGTGAACTTTTAAAATAGTTATTATAAGTATTCAAATGAATTGGAATTGCCTATAAGTATCCACTAATCCATCACAGGTTGCCAATGCCATATGTTTGCCTCTTGATAAATTATAAAAAATAAAAGCAGCTAAAATATGTATACTATTACAAAGCGCAAAGTCATTGTACAAAAGCAACTGCTCATGTGACTTGCTTATATGAATCTGAACGTATGAATGAAATGTGTAAACAAAAATCCCAATTTAAACAAAAACTAGGAAATAATTCATTTTCTCAAATTATTCACAAGAGGATTCTGTTCGATAGCAAGCTCCTTTACTGCATTTAAAATATCATTCAACTTGAAAAAAAAACTAATTTGTGCACCACTTTGCAGGACTATATAAAATTATGGAAAAAGAGCATCCTCAAGGAACAATGACCCTTATTTAGGTTCATTCATTCAACAACTATTGATTAGGCATCTACTGTATGTGAAAAGTGGGCATCTAGGTAGCCCAGGGGATAGAGCACTGGGCCTGGAGTCTTGGAAGACTCCAGTTAAAATCTGGCCTCAGACACTAGCTGTGTGACCCTTGGCAAGCCACTTAACCCTATCTGCCTCAGTCTCCTCATCTGTAAAATGAGCTGGAGAAGGAAACAGCAAACTATTCTGCTAAGAAAATCCCACATGAGGTCACAAAGAGCTGGACACAATTGAAAAACAACTGAACAAACAATTTATGTAAAACACTTCCAGGGTGATGGAAAAATAGACATAGTCCCATAAATACAGCCCTAATTAACCTGGTCCACATAATAATATTAATAACAATAATAACAATAGCTGCCTTTTATGTAGCCTTTAAGGTTTACAAAGTGTTTATCTATATTGCCTAATGGAAGCCACATAAGAGGCTAGGAACTAGGTAAAATGCCTCACAGTAAGTGACTCGTCACACAGCTAAAAGTGTCAAAGTGAATTCAAACCCAGATCTCCTCTCTTTACTCAAGCACTCTTTCAACAATAATATATTTTGCCATACAAACTAGATCCACTCAAGTTAAAGTTATTACTCCTGAAAGAACTGATTTATAGGACTAGGCTAAACCAATATGATAAAAATGCCAATATGACCTATATTAATTTACTTATTCAGTGTCAGAGCAATCAAAGGATTGTTTTATACAAAGTTAGAAAAAATAATAAAATTCTTCTAGAGGAAAAAACAGATCAAGGGAAATAATGGGGAGAAAAGTAGAAAGGAAAGAGATCTGGCTGTACCACATACCAAACTTTCTACAAAGCAGTTTGATACTGTTAAACTGATACTGTTAAGGCTGTTGGATACTGATTAAAAACAACAAACTAACATGAACTGATCAGTGGAACAGAATAGGTTGCAGAATATGCAAATGATCATAGTAGTTTAGTCTAGTTAAACTAGTCTAGATAAATCCCAAAATTCCAGCCACTAGAGAAAGGACTCACAATTTGACAAAAACTGCTGGCACAACTAGAAAACAGTCTGGAAAAAATCCCAAGACAAGATCCAAAAAGACACATGACATATATAAAAAGTCACTTCATATCAAATCTGAGGAGCAAGAAAGAAATTATCTTGCAGATCTCTAGACAGATAAATAAATAGTTCATGACCAAATGAGAAAGAGAGGACCATAGAAGAAAAAACGGGCAATCTTGTTTTTATACAAACAAAACTAAGGCAGTTAAAATCAGAAAGGAAATGGGTAACTGGGGGAGGGGGGAGGAAATCTTTGTAGCAAGTTTTCTCTGATGAAGGTCAAAGAAAGAAATCTAAACTTCCCACAGACCTATGAAAAAAATGCTCTCAGTCACTAACACTTAGTTCCAAATGGCTCTCCGGAATGACTGGAACATTTATCTATGCCCCAAAAGTTATTAAACTGCATTCCTTTTGATCCATCCACACAAATATTTATAGCTATTCTTTTTGTAGCGGCAAAGAGGATATTCATCCATTGGAGAATGGTTGAACTTAGGGTATATGAATGTAATATAATATTACTGTGCCATAAGAAATTAAGAGGATCATTTCAGAGAAGCTTGGGAAGACAGAGTGAAACAGGCAGAACCAGGAAAACAAACTCTGATCAATGTAATGACCATCAATGATTCCAGAGGACTGAGGATGAAAGCACGGGATGTCACCTCCTGACATAGAGGTGGAGGCCTCAAGAGGCAGAACAAAGATATACATTTTTGGATACAGTCAATATGGGAATTTCCTTTCTTTTTTCAGTGCTTCCAAAAATGAAAGAGAAAGCCAGAAGGACTTAACAAACAAGCTGGACAGCTATGAAAGTTACATGTTGAATTTATCACATACTAAAAAAGAAAAGCTCCACAAAAAAGATTTATGGTTTCATGTACAATGTCCTCCCTCTTATCCTAAAATGTACTGGGAACCGCTCATTTTATTGTTGTTTGTCAAGTTCAGAATAAAAAGATTTTTAAATTTTTTCTTTTAAAAAGAAGAAAAAGATCCATTAGTTAAGTCCAGAAATTTTTTAAAGGGGAAAAAAATAAAAGTAGCTTACCAATGTTTTCTTGAACTACTCAATGTCAAAAATTTTTCTATTTTTCTCAGAAAGACCATCATTATTCTAGAAAACCTGGCTATAGTTTCAGACCTTGCCTCCTTTGTGTCTACCTGATTATGTTAAGTAGGCCTTTTCAGAAGGACCACTCATTGGCTACCTTCTTTTCTTTTGTTGTTCAATCATTTTCAGTCACATCTAACTCTTTATGACCCCATTTGGCATTTTCTTGGTAAAGATACTAGAGTGGTTTGCCTTTTTCTCCTCCAGCTCATTTTACAGATGAAGAAACTGAGACAAATAGGGTTAAGTGACTTCCCTAAGGTCACACAGCTAGTAAATGTCTGAGGCCACATTTGAACTCAGGAAGATGAGATCTCCTGACTTCAGGCCCAGTGTTCTATCCATTATGCCCCTTAGCTGCCCTATGCAGATAACTCGCAATCCAGATTACTACAAATCCAGACTTTGACTCTCTTCTGAGTTCCAGACTCACATTTATTTACAGTTGTCTATAAGACATCTCCATTTGGATGTCTAATAGGCATCCCAAGCTCAATGTATAAAAGCAAGTTTATCTTTCCTCCTAAACCTGCTCCTCATTCTGACAACTATTTCTCCAAGATTCAAAAACTTAATGTTACTTTTGAATTATCTCTCTCCCAACCAGTGACCAAATCCTGACAAATCCAAGCGATTCTACCAGTTCTCCTATTACCATACTCCTCAGCCAATCCAATAGCTTCCTAACAAGTGTTCTGACCACCCCTTTCTTTCCTCCAATCAATTCTCTGTATCACTTCCTGACCTACTTTTTAAAATTTGGATAGACTGAATCAGTCTGCTCTTTAAAAAATCTATGGCTCCCTAATACCCAATGAATGGTATGCTGGCACAATCACATTTAGGGTGAGTGGACTTCTCTGTTGAAAGAGTACTCCCCCTACTGGGCCCAATTTTTGTAAGTCAAATTTCTCATTTCAAATGTAAAATATTTATTTAAAATATGCTTGCTGGAAAGATAACTTTCTAAGCAATAGCAGGTGGTCTCCTGGAGTACAATAAATAAACTCTTTCAAATGAAATAAACAAGATACATACAAACCAAACAAAACCCAAACCGGCAACACTTACTTCTCTCTCAGCTTCTTTCAAGATTGCTTCTTTCTCCTTCACTCTCTGCACAAACATCTGTTTCATCTCCTCTTCTTTCCTTTGACGTTCACCATAAAATTCGTGTCTTTTGATTTCATAGGCCTCCTGAAGACTAAAAGTGAGGTAACATAAAATGCAATGAATTCTTAGGTTGAAATGAGAATGCAAACATAGGCAAGCTCTACGACCAATCAAACTATCAATCAATTGTACACCCCTCCATCAGAGCAACCCAACACACAGAATTCCCATCCTATGAAACTGATGAAGCATAATGCGTGCTAATTAACAGCAGGACTTACATAACTCTGGTTCATTTAACACAATTTGAAATTCCCTGAGGCACAATTCTACTGAAATTCTTAGAGAACTCTCCATGAGGCAGATTTCTCATTTGCAGAGGTTCAATGCTATCAGATTCTCTTCAATATTTCTTTTTTTTTAAAAGGCAATTGGGGTTAAGTGACTTGCCCAGGGTCACACAGCTAGTAAGCGCCAAGTGTTTGGTCTCAGGCTGGATTTGAACTCAGATCCACCTGACTTCACTGCGCCACCTTGCTGCCCCTTCAATATTTCAAAAATAATTTTTTTTTCCTTCAATTCATAAGAGTTCTAAGAGACAAATGAAATTAATTGTCCTCTTGTGGCAAAGGCAAAGATTTCCATTTGTCAAAATAGCAAATTCTATTTAAATTATGTGGCATTTTACATTTAAAATATGAAGTATTAGAGTACAGTAATTACAAAGAAAAAAATACCTCTTGCCAACACTTTCATGATAGCTCTATCAACAGAAAAGTCTTTGTTTCTAGTACATTTTTTTAAAAAATGTCAGGTATCAAATAATCGTCATATATTCAATCTGTGCCAGGTCCTCAGGGGCAATATACAGTGTAATAATAATACCATACTTTGTGATAGTAACTTACAGTTTTCAAATAACTTTCACATAAAGCATCTCCCTTTCATTTTGACAATGCCCAGAGAGCACAATTCTGAGTCAGTATTACATAATGAATAGAGAGATGTCCTTAAACTGGGAAGATCAGAGTTCAAGTCCTGACACTAACACATGTATGACTAGGAGCAAGCCCCTTCACTTCTCAGCATCCTAACAACTCTGACCATCAACAGCATAGGAGTTGCTGGTTTCAGTTGGTAGTAAGAATGCTCTCACTACAAGTTCCTTACACTCTGATGCCAGAGTGTAAACTAAAAGACAGTCAATGTACTCTAAGGAAAAAATGGTGTTGACACATTTTTTTTTGTTTGACTGAAAATGGTTATTTTAAGAGCTTTTTGATATAACAAAAACTCTTTAGGTCCCTAGAAAACTTAACTACTCAGTGATTGATTCCCCCATGGAATAACCATGGCCACAATTTTATTGTCATGATTATGCCAGGATTTTAAATAATTCCACAACTCTGACTACAGAATATACCTGCTTTTCAAAGGTGGGCATTAAAGATTCCAAAGTTTCACCAGGCAACAATTCTGAAGTATAAATTATAATGACCAGTGTGTTAATAGCAAAAATATCAGTTAGTCCTCCGGGGTGCCAGGTTGTTTCTTAGGATTTAGTGGAGAATTTTGCTTAAATCTGAAATAATTAAGCATGTGCAACCTAGGCATTTCTTTTACTTAATTTAAATAAGATTATACTCAATTAATTAAAAACATAACATTCTAATGCCATTTATTTAGGTTTCCTGACTTGCGCAAGATACATGCTAGAAGATTAAGATGTCAAATTTGAACTAGCACAACAATTCAATAATGAATTAAAGTAGTTCATACTATCTGTACTAATGAGCTACGAAAACTTGGACAAATGAATGAGCTCCTTTATCTGTAAAGTTCAATTAAATTCAAAAAACATTTATTAAGCACCTAGTAGGTACATTTATGGCCTATGGGCTTATAGTCAATTATAATAAGAAGTCACATTTACACAAGTTTAAAGCTTTTTAAAGTACTTACATACATATATTATCTCATTGATCTCCACAATAACCTTTTGAGGGAGGTACTATTATTATTCCCTTTTTACAGATGAGGAATTTGAAGCTCAAAGAGTTAAAAGATTTGCCCAGTCACCAGACTGATGAGTATCAGAGGTCTCTCTGACTCCAAGTTCATTTCTCTATCATGTTAATAATCCTACCATTCCATGAATTATATTTACACATACACTATACACTTCTGTGAATATGTCCTCTCCCCCAAAAAATAGGTACTCCTTTGTAAAACTCCAAGGGCTTGGTAAATGTCAAATATTACTATTATTCTTTAAAACAAAAAAAAGCCAGACAATCTGAAAATACTAAGAGATCATAAATCTATTAGAAATTGAAGGACAGAAGCTACCTAATCATTATTTAATTTTAAAAAGGTAAAATACAAAATAGTAATATTATATTGAACTTCATGCCATAGGCAGATTATTACTTTTTTATTACTTTTACTACATCAAGCGTAACTCTGGAAAAGGGTTCAATATTTTTGTCTTTTACTTTTAAGTTTTAGATTAAATTTATGTTCAACATTAAATGTATGTTACTTTTCTTAAATGCAGACCCTAAAAAACACAAAATTACTAATTCTATACTTAGCTTTCTTTTTTCTCTAGGTGATCAATATATATCCTCATGACATACTGTCTCCTCACCATGGCCCCACTATTGGGCCATCTCCACCTCATCAGAAACTTGGATTATACCCTTTCATTCCCCCCCAGCTCTGGTAAGTGAATCCCTTTCTTTGGTTTATCTTATTTGGAAGCAGGACTTTCATACCACTGCTACTTCCTGCAGTCTCTTCAACATGGTCCCATACTCTTTGTGTGTTTACTTTCCCCATTAAACAGTGTTTTAATAAATGCTCTTTTCTCTTTCTATCCCTTGCCATCTCCCTCATCTCTATGAGGAAGGTAGAACCAATAACACTACAATTTAGCCATAAATCAGAGACTGTATTATACAGTGGAAAGAACATTGGATTTGGAACCAGAGAGTTTGAGTTAAAATACCCAGGTCTTTTACTTTCTGTTTGACCTTGGGCCAATGACTTTAGCCCTCTGGACCCTAGTACCCTAATCTTTAAAAAGAGGGGATTGTATTAGATGGCTTCTAGAATTCTTTTCAGCTCCAAATATGAGATCCTAAAACACTAGAAACAGTGTTTGTGTTAACTAGAACCGTTTAAGTATTCTGTTGTTTGCCTTTTCGTAACATCAGATGAGCAAGATATTTAGTCTCCTGTATGTGAATAGATCTTTTCTACCACATCATGCTACATAGGAGGGTAAATGATCTCAAAGGACTGTTTAGCTGCTTCTGGAAGAAGGTGATTTAGATAGAGTAAATGGAATTGTTGCTCAGCTTCATGTAACTTTAATGCAGTAGCCATCAAAAATGTGAATTATTTACATTTCTATTTTCCCAAGTTAAAAGACTTATAGAAGGAAATCTGAAAAGATGGTGAAATCAGAATACTTAAAAAGGAAAGATAGAAAAGCTATATAAGGAGGCATTTTTTGGGGGGGAAAACCCCTAGGCATAGAGCTAGTAATTTTTTTCATGTAGTATTATCCCCTGTACATAGTAGATATTTAGTGTTAAATTGAATATTATAAAATAAATAAAAATATAAAATAGAAATTTGAAGGACTGAAGGACAAAGATATTAAAATCTTTAATCTATTTTATGAAACAAAGGTTGGAAGAACAAATATAACACGACTTATACAATAGCCTAATGGTTGAATGTAATGCAAAATTTAGAAAAAATTGCAAAAAACAGTTTGCTTGAGAGAAGGGGGAGTAAAAGAGAAGAATTAGTATCATTTGTGGTAATCATTTGTAAGGAAACTTGGGGACCATATAGCCAAATGAATGAGGATAAAAGAATTAAGAAATTATTCCAAAGAGATTAAATGGAAGTGGCACACATAATAAAAACCACATATGAAAAATGAAAAGTAAAAAGTATATAAATTGGCAAGTATTTAGTTGATAAGCATTATAGGAATGAGAAATCAATTCAGCAGACATTTACTATCTATTATTTGCTGTCTATTTTTTAATATTATTACTTAAGCTATATGCTAACCATAAAAATTTGATGAGGAAAGTCTAAATTGAGCCACTAATCCTTATAAAAATTGTCACTTTAAAAATACATAAAGTTTCATTATACTCTAAGCCATATCTGTAACCACATGGGTAACTAAGGAGATTGGTTTTGTAAACCTAACTTTGGATTAAAACTCTAAAGTATATGCCCATTTAAGCTGTGCTGTATTATTCTTATTCTTATCATACTATATATCAGGATGTTTCCAAGAGAAAAACACATCTGAAGGTCTGTTTTTGGATTCTAGGAATGTCACACTTAGTTCAGGGACTGGCTGCAGAACCCAGGATTCCCTTTTCACTGTGACCACCTGTGGCTTCTGACGAGGTTTCTAGCCTCTGCTACCTATTGCAGATCAATTACAGTCTCAGCTTCTCTGTTCTTCCTGTCTTGGAAACAATCCCACAAATCTTTGGATGCTTTCAAGGGTCTTAATGATAACAAAGGGAAAGCAGATAGGTGGTTTAAAAAAATTCAAAGTTTTAAAAGTGTTATTATTATTTTACAGATAGTAACAGTGGCTGATCAATGTTAAGAAACTCACACAGTAAGGAAGCATAAGATTTAATGATTGGAACCCATGGTCATGGCCCAATTCTGGTGCACCATTCCCATGTTTTGAGCGTTCTCAAAATAAAACATCTAGCATTCAAGTGAATTTAAGTAGAACTAAGCCTCATCTTTCTAATTCCTTTCACTTCTAACTTAACCTTCACTTTTGTTCTTGAAAACCTTGCCCAATCCCTATAACAACCTGCAGCTTGTGCTCCTGGTTCCTCTCTACAAAGATGGCTCCTTCCTTTCCAGGTCTGCCTACCCCATTCTTTCCTGGCTAGATTTCTTTCTCAAAGACCAAGCCTTAAACCCAATTCATTCTGGACCTCATGGATTGGACAACAACAGGTTCCTGCCCCAAGCACTACTTACTAATTAATTTTTGGACTCTCCTGGCTCAGAGTGAATGTAAATACTATATGTAAATAGTAACAGAGTGAAAATGAATAGTAAGTAGTAAATAGTAAAAATAGAAAGTTTCTCCTTTGGCCAGAAATCCTGAGGGTCTTCCCCTCCCGGTTTGATTTTTTTTTTTTTTTTTAAAGGAGCCATCCTTGACTCACTTCTTAAAGAGGCCTATTCACTGAATGGGCATTGCCTTCCTCAAAGTGAGACCTTCAAAAGACCTTAGCTTAAAAGGGCCAAGGTCTCCCATTGTATCCTAGGCCATCTCCAGTCATCCTAATCATATCTGGCCACTGGAACCAAGATGGCTCTGGAGGAGAAAGTAAGGCTGGTGACTTTGATCTGAGTGAGGGACGGCTGTGCAAAGTCAAATCCAAGTCATTAATCATCTCCCTGATGTCATGGTCCTCTTCAAGAATGAAGAACAAACCACAACCATAAGCCTACTCCATTCTCTTTTTTCACTTAAGATTTTGAAGGGAAATATTAAGTTCAGATAGAAGAAAAAGTTATCTCCTCTTATGCCACCAAACATACATACACATACAAAAGTAAAATTCAGCTATTGTGTTAAAGGGAAATCTAGATTCCTGTTTCTTCTATTTCTTTTGTGAAGAATGAAGACTGCCTTGCTGATTTCATCCTAGGGGCAGGGAGTATGGTTGAGTGTGCCCTGTTGGGATGGTAGGAATTGGAAACTGAGAGATGAAATAGGACTAGAGGCCAGGGGATACTGCCAATGAGATAACAAATAGGAGATGATTGGAGAAAATAGCTCTTGTTCTTTCTCTCCCAGGGGAAAAAGGGGAAAAGTGAGTAAGGACTAAGGACACTCAAGAATATTAGCGGAAATAATCACAAGTTATAGAAAGGAAGACTGTAGCTACCATTTGTACAGGAAGATATAGTATTGCATTGAATTTTAGGAGAAATTGACCAAGCTAAGAAATTGACCAAGTTAATTGACCAATTAACCAACTATCAGTTTTTCAAAGGCAAAAAAATCACAAAGAAAAAATTTTCTAGCTCCCTTAAATTTTACAGCTAACAAAAGTACTTAACTAAACCATTAATTTCACAGTTGTTTTTTAGTAGCAGAATTAGACAAACCATTTCTTTGTTTGAGTGGGCTACTTGAATGTGAGCATCTACCTGAAAACACTATGTTTTCAATGACTATTGAAACAAAGCAGAAGATGAGTTGCAATAACTGGAGCTCTTGGCAGGCTACATCAGAGTATATAAATCTGGGACATCTCTGCTGTTACACCTCTCCAGCTAAGGTTTACCATGCCACAGGTAATCGATCAGCTGATCTATCCTGAAACGTAACCTAGTCAATCGCAGGCCAACCACCAAAGCCATTCTTTTTTCATCTTAAGGTAAATTAAAGGCAGATTTTCCTCTGGAAAGAGTGACAGACACCTGCTATGAATTATGTAGCTGCACAATTATGGAAGAATACTTTAATTTCACATCATGACTGAAGCCATTGTGTATGTGCTTGAGAAATCCATTTTTAAGAAGTCTTGATGTGTCATCAATGCTTTATGGCAGAACATCTATAAAAATGAAAGCTTCAGACAAATTAAAAAACTCTTGTCCCAAAATTTAAAATTGATCCTTGATTAATAAGGTTGCAAAATCAAACTGATTTAGGTTCAACATTACTACCTTCTGTTCTCATCCTTGTACAAAACCAAGATACGACTAAAATACAGATAGCAGAATGGAGAAGGAAGAGAAAGGGCCTAAATAATTTACAAATAAAAAAAATACCATTAGGAAATAACCATGTCTGAAGAAATCTAGAAAGACAAATTTCTGGAAAGCTTTATCAAGATAAATCTAATCAGAATTATAAGTTTATTTAAGTCCTGAAATATTAAGGTTTAAAGTTAAAATTATTTCAACAAAAAAAAAAATGTTGGAAATGTAGCCATCAAGTGACATAGGTCTTCAAATTTATTCCCAGGAAGTTTTCAACTGAATACTTGGTGCTCAGTTTTTGTATGTTTTTTTTTAAATGAGCTTTCATCATTTTCCTATGTACATATGTATATAAAGGTCAGAGAGACTGAATTTGTTCTTTCATCAGAATAGGAATATAACACCAAGTAAATTCCCTTTACCAACGCAGATTGGAAACTTTTAATCTATGAAAGCTACCTAGAGCAATGAGAGACTGGGCAATTTGCCCAAGGTCATATAGCCATATGAATCAGATGCAGGATTCTGAACCCAGGTTTTCGTGGCTTGGTGGCTAGCCCTCTAGAGACTATATCATGCTGCCTCTATAAAAAGACAAAGAAACAAATGTTTTGAACCAGACCTGTAATTTCATTAATGTAAGGAGCTCCCAATAAGGAAACTTCCTCATTCTGTCTACCAATGCATAAAACCAATGTCTCTGTAACTTAAAAATCTTTGTAAGAATTACATAGGGCATAAAGAGTTTAAATGACCCATCTATGACCACACACCCAGTATGCATCAGAAATAGGATTTAATGATTGTTGATAAATCAAAATAAATTAATAAAAAAAAAAGAAAGACACTTGTGTGAACTGATGCTGAGTGAAGTGAGCAGAATCAGGAGAACGTCATCCACAGTAACAGCCACACTGTGCTATGACTAATGGTGATAGACTTAGCCATTCTCAGCAATGTAAGGATCTAAGATATCTCCAAAGGTCTCATGATGGAAAATACTATCCACATCCAAAGAAAGAACTATGGCTGAATGCAGACCAAAGCATACTATTTTTTTTCTTCTGTTTTGTTTTGTTTTCTTTCTAGTGGTTCTTCCTATTGGTTCTAATTCTTCCTTACAACATCACTAATGTGAAAATATGAAAATAGGAATATACATGTATAGCCTATATCAGATTGTATGCCATCTTGGGGAGGGAGGGGGAGAAAAATTTAAAATTCAAAAGCTTATGGAAGTGATTGTTGATAAATCAAAATAAATTAATAAAAAAGTTAAAAACATAGGATTTAAATCTAAGTCAATTATGACTTCAAAGCTAGCCCTCTGTCCGCTATGCAACACTGAAAATTGCCTTTCCCATATATCCCTTTATAAAGTCTGTTAAATTTCTTCTGGTGCAGTGGATAGAGCACCAGCCTTGAAGTCAGGAGGACTTGAGTTCAAATCCAGCCTCAGACCAAACACTTGACACTTACTAGCTATGTGACCCTGGGCAAGTCACTTAACCCCAATTGCCTAAAAAGATAAAAAAAAAGTATTACAACATGATGTCTGTTCTTTCTATACAAAAGAATGTCCAATTTACCTGACCGGTTTGTTCTCTGGGCTTACATCTTTAAAACCCATTTCCTCCAGTTTGCATCGCCTATAAAGTTCATAATGTCGAGTGTGGGTTTGTTCTCTCAGGTCCTCCATATTTGTGCAAATGAGCATTTCACGGAGTTTTACAAAGTCACAGTGATTTTCATTTTCCACTAGTCAGAAAAAGGAGAGTAGGAAAAGTGATATGTAACATAAACATTTGAATAACTTGTAGATTATAAGTTTAATAAGTAAGGTATGATCTATTCCAAGTATTCTTTTCAAGGGCAAAGGAGCTGCATTATAGTTAGATTATAAGCAAAATTAATTAAGAAATCAGGAAAATGTTAAAAATTCAATGTTTAGCGGGTAGACAGCATCTTATACTATTTTCTAATTATCCACTGGCATAATATGATATATAAACATATAATACAGATAGAGTTATACCATTCTATATTCTATTGGTACTGTTACCAGTCCATAAACAAATATCACTGGGCTATTTCATCTACCATTTGCTATTTTCAAAGTAGTAAAGTCTAATGATATAAACGTCAAGATTCTGAGCAATTTTAGTCAAATAATACCTAAGTGTACTTATTACTATATTATACATGACACAAAGTATGTTTTCCCAACAGCCTAAATGTGTTGTGCCCAAATTAGCATAAATACAACGTAATATGCTACAGTGACCAATTTTTTATACTTTTCTTACATTAAGAAAATACAGGTATTTTCTTATTAGAGCTTGATATCCAACAGTTAAATACGTATTATATATAACATATACACATGTGCATATAATAATTTGTATTTTTATCATCATTATTATTGTATCTAGTATCCAGAAGAAGGTTGGACATATGGTCCCAGGAACAGACTAGAACAGATCTTAGGATCAGCTGAGCAAAGGGGCTTGGCACCAAAGGATTTGTCTCCACAAAAAAATCAACAAGCATTTAGTAGGTTCCTAATATGTGCTGGACCAGATGACTTGAGGTGGAGGAGGAAGGAGAGAAGGCACAACACTTTCAAAACTGTCTACTACTAAAGTATGAAGAAATTGTGAGAAGAAACAGCCACACCGATGAAAACATGGTGAAGTTAAAAAAAAAAA